ATTTGAACTCAACTCAGGCCTTCCTCACCTCAGTAACTCACTGGTGAATCAAGTCAAAGCTTCATGAAGCTGTGGCAAGTTTTTGCAAAGGTCACAATGGAGAAATCAAGGCGGTGTTTGTCTATTTTAGAAACAAAATCTGGGGCTTTGGAGTTCTTGTCTTTCACTGAGATACAAAATGGGAGGGGAAGCTGAAGATTTTAACTTATCCTGCAATTAAAACAATTATGCATTCTTTTCATTATTGACTGCAATGTTGATTATTTGGGTAAACGTCCTCACATCAGGAGGATTCTGGGGGATGGCATAATTGAACCAGAGCAATAAACAACAAAAAAAGTTAATCCATCATGTCAGGTGTGCTGCTTAAAAAGACTAACCTGAACTTGAAGCCGGGAAGAGTCTTCTTGCTTCCTGATTAAAATGTGAGTATAAATTACAGTGTGAATGCTGTAATTTCAACAAGGGTTTTTACTCTCAGAACCTGACCTTGAGCTAAAAAGAAAAACAACCATTTGTTGTTGTTGTTTGACCTGTTTTGATGCTTTCATTCAGAATATCCATGGGAGAAAAGGATTGCGATGTGTGGACAGAAAAAATCTGTGGCATGGAGGTGCCTCTCTACATAACAGCGGTTTTCAGATTTTCTACCTGCAGCTTGTCTGAAAAAGGCCCCCTGTGCGTCTGTCACATAGAACCTCTGATTGTAGGCTTGGTTGAAAGTGGTTCACTCTTTATGTAAGACTCAAAGGTTCAGTCCAGCACACCATTCACCACATTAGGAATGGGTACCTCAGGTGACTGTAGACTGACTGTGTACCAGGCCTGACATCTTCAGCCATGGAAACGCTGCTTTCTTGATAAATGGATTGATCTGCCAGCTAATTTTCATGCACTCTTTGTGCTTCCTTTGGCTGTGGACATGTAATTCACCAGGTGGTTTAAAGTGTGATCAGCTGCTGTAAATTGAATTCTTTTTCCAGGAATAGGCCAGTTTCTTTCCTCTCTCCGGTTGCAGATATTATATATCAAGGTTCATGACTAGGGATGGAGGAAGAATTTGGTCCACTTTTCTGACTGACCTGATCCGAAAAGCTTAAATTTTCTTGAGGGATAAATGAGAGGGGGGCTTACCTTTCTCCAACAGCAGTGACTTTTCTCAGTGTTGCCATTTCCTAAATGCCACCATTTTATTTTCCCAGAATGCTCCTAATGTGTTATTCTGTAGCATCCCATGGGGACAAATGGAGGTTGAAATCACTTATTCCTACCCAAAATGCTACAGAAGATGCAATGTCAGGTTTGGGTACCACTGCACTGCGTTCCAAAAGAGCAGCTTTTTATTTCCTTCCTGGAATTAATGTGTGGCACCCAGTAGTACTGAGTGCAGAAAGAAAATGATTGGGGTTAAACATGCTCCTTACCCCTAGTGACCCGACTATTAATTACTGAGCCTGCGCCTCTCTGCTTAGCCTCATCCTGGGTTCTGTCTCTTGGTCATGCTGAGCGTGACGAGTTGTTGGGAGTGCTACAGAATGTTGGGAACTGGCAGATAGATACTTGGCATTACTATTTAAAAGTGACCACCGTGGCACTACCCTTCTGATGTTTATACAAATGCATATACTTCTAGTTCACTGGCTGCATTTTAGACTTTAATTGCCCTGGCCCAGAGACTGAAAAGCTTTTAGTTGATTGCACACATTAGATTAGACTCTTGGACCTGACAATTGACTTGGGCGGTTATTACTATTTCCAGCACTGCAGTATAATTTGTGAGTTTCCTCCATCTGGGGCATCACAAAAAAAAAAAAAGCTGTGTTGCAGATTTTCATTCTTCATATCTGTGACAGTTGCACTTGGAGGGCTTCTGTGTGAAACAGAATACAAAAGGGTGTGCTTCAACTAGGACATTGCTTGCGTTCTCAAAAGCTGCTACATTAGAAGCCATGAGCACCCCCTCTGGGTCAGGTTCTAGTCTAGCATCCTGTTCCAGCAGTGGCCAACCAGGTGCCTATCAGAAGTCCACAAGCAGGACTCAGTGGTGGCTGGTGCTCCTTGGGACAGAAGGCCAGCAGTAAGTGGTTCCACATCCAAAACTAATTCTAGTTTTGTCCCCATCCTCCTTCCTGGTGAGTTCTATGCCAGGGCCCAATTCAAAGTGCTGGTTTTGACCTGTAAAGCCTTAAAGGGCTCAGGAGCACAATACTTCAAGGACTGCCTCTCTCCATGTGAACCTACCCAGACCCTTCAATCATCTACTGAGGCCCTTCTTCACGTGCCTCCTCCACGAGAGGTCCAGAGGCTGCCAACAGAAGAACAGGTCTTTTCTCCAGTGGTTCCCGTTTATGGAATGCTCTCCCCAGGGATGTTTGGCTGGTGCCTTCATTATACACCTTCAGGTGCCAGGTGAAAATGTTCCTCTTTAACCAGGCCTTTGGCTGATGGACCTCTAGTGCCCTTGTGGGAGTGTGGATTATTGGGTTGTTTTTGTTTTTATTTTGTGTTTTCTACATTGTGATTTTATGTTGTGAACCACTCTAAGATCTATGGCTATAGAGTGGTATACAAATAATAATAATAATAATAATAATAATAATAATAATAATAATACAGTCCTCCAGCCTCTAATGGACCAGCCTCCCCTGACAGGACTTGAATGCAACAGTGCTCTCCCCATTGGTTATTTCCAGCATCTAGAATTGTGAGTTACCCAGGGGAGTTCCAGCATTGCTCTTGTGGGTTAGCCATTGATAACGTCTTTTCCTGTAATTCAGGTTTGTGGCCATGGCTACATCTTGCGGGAGACGACAAAGGCTTAATACTAGAAAAGCTACTAAACTGTAGAGGAGCTGGTCAACAATAGGAATCTGGTTCACAATGTAGCTGTTTAGGTGTCATTGGGTATACAGTGAGGGGGGAAAGTATTTGATCCCCTGCTAAATTTGCCCGTTTGCCCTCTGACGAAGAAATGACCAGTCCATAATTTTAATGGTAGGTTTATTGTAGCTGTGAGAGACGGAATAAGAACAGGAAAACCCCCAGAGACCCAGAAGTCAAAAGTCAGAGATTGATGTGCATTATAATGAGGGAAATAAGTATTTGATCCCTTTGCAAAAGATGACTTAGTACCTGGTGGCAAAACCCTTGTTGGCAATTACAGAGGTCAGACGTTTCTTGTAGGTGGCCACCAGGTTTGCACACATCTCAGGAGGTATTTTGTCCCACTCCTCTTTACTTTTCTGGGTTTCTGGGTGTTTTCCTGTTGTTATTCTGTCTCTCACAAGTACAATAAACCTACCATTAAAATTATGGACTGGTCAGAGGGCAAATGGGCAAATTTAGCAGGTGCTCAAATACCTTTCCCCCTCACTGTATTTCTAAAGTACGGTGTGTGGGGGGGGGGAGGTCAAAGGGAAGACAAAACATTGGCTTTGCAATACATGCACAGATTTGAGAACCTCACTCAGTTCACCAGTCAGGTCGCCTGCCCACGGCTTTGCTTTATGGGAAGCTGATGTTTCCCTCGCATCACACCAGCTTGGGTGATGAAGTTGTTCCGGGGTCTTTTGGCCCTGAACGACAGGCAGGAAATTTTCTACCTGCCTGTGCAGATTATGCCTGCCTGCACTTGTTATACGAGATCGACACAAACTGCTCCTTGCTATATTTTAAGAGATATATTTTACCAATTCATGCTTTGTCAAGTCTTCATTCTGGGTGTAGGGGAGTCTCTGGTTATATACTAACCAAAGGTTAGACAGCCTTGGGATACAGCATAATATGGGACAAATAAAACCGAAGAATGAAACTGGAATGGATGAGATGCTGACATTTGGACATCTCCTGGAAAGAAATCCTGGAGTACATTTGGTAAGTCAGCATTCAGAGGCAAATAAATATTGCAGCCCACTCACAGATATAGATAGAGAATAGCTCAAGGTCAAAAAGCACTGTCGGTGGTTTTAACTGCATTTGTAAATTGTGGGAGAAAACATGAATCTTGTATGCCGCATAATGGATTTTAATTCTTGCACTCAGTCTTTGCATTATAACTTCTTCCTTGATTGCTCATCATTCATCAAATAAATTCTAAATGTGTGGATGCTCTGGACTAATCTCTTTATTAATCCAGACGCTGATAGTTTAGCCATAGCCTTTGGCAATGGCTTGGAAGCTTTGTTTGGTGCCGAATGAGGAAGCCAGAGTTTTATCTGGAAGAAATCCACTGGTTCCCTGTTGGCTTCTGGGCCCAATTCAAAGTGCTGGTGCTTTTAAGCTCTAAATGAGTTAAGAGCCAAGTATCTGAGAGAATGGCTTCACCCATACCAATCTGTCTGCATGTTAAGATGCACATCAGCTGGTCATCTTTTCTCTCTTTCAGAGATGAGGTATGTTTTAATGAAAGGGGAATTTTTTTTTGGCCATGACACTCTGATATCAGAATCTCCCCCACCCAGCTTCATTATTTTTAGGCACCTAGTACTGTAAAGGCTCCTGCCAACCTAGCAGTTCGAAAGCACATCAAAGTGCAAGTAGATAAATAGGTACCGCTCTGGTGAGAAGGTAAACGGCGTTTCTGTGCGCTGCTCTGGTTCTCCAGAAGCGGCTTAGTCATGCTGGCCATATGACCCGGAAGCTGTATGCTGGCTCCCTCGGCCAATAAAGCAAGATGAGCGCCGCAACCCCAGAGTCGGTCACAACTGGACCTAATGGTCAGGGGTCCCTTTACCTTAATACTGTAAAGACTTTTTCAACATTCAAGCAGGTGTTTTAGACATCCTGATGGGCATTGTGTTTCTAATGGGCAAGTTTTATGCTTATGTTGTACTTCGTAAATGGCTTCAAAATCTCTAGATATCTGGAGTATCAAGTACACAATGCATTTTAGAATCGAAAAGAGGCATTGCAGAATCTACTTTTGCAGCCCCACTTGTACTAAAGTCACATAAAGCCACAGGTAAGACTGCAAGGCTCAGGTGTCTAGGGACTGGTTCCTGGGCTGGCTATAGCTCAGTTGGTAGAGCATGGACTCAGCTAGATTGGTAAAGAAAAGGTGTTTTATATGTGTTGTATATGCAGTATAACACTGTGACACCAGATGGCACTGGAGACTCCCGTTTTTCCCTACCAGATTTCCCTGTATGAGTTTACAACGTGTTTAACTGAATCACTTCTTTGATGTGTCTAGCTCCAGCCCATGAGACTCTTCATCTCAGAATCGTGGGTTTGAGCCCCATGTTGGGCCAAAGATTCCTGCATTGCAGGGGGTTGTACTAGATGACCCCCATGGTCCCTTCCAACTCTACAATTCTATGATTCTATGACATCATAAAATGCCATGTTCTGTGCCCATTACAGTGCTGTCACCACAAGAAAAAAATAGCACCTTTGATGCATGTTTTAATGGCAAAATAATCATTTCAGTGTAGTTCTAGAATTGGCAGTTCTACCCAAGAGATATGTGTGTGTGTGTGTGTGTGTGTGTGTGTGTGTGTTGAAGAGTGATTTCTTTTAAAAGCATATAATTGAGATGTAGAACCATGAGTTCAAACAGCATTTCCCCCCCTTACATAAACCAGCCTCGAATCTTTCCTCTTTAGACCTTTCAAGCCGCTGCGGCATCTGTGACTTGAATTAGCAGAACAGCTGTTGACCTTTTCAACACACAGCGCACAGAAGGACCCATCACAATTCCTAGTAGGTCACACAGAGCCTGTTTCTTAGAGAGCAGCGGCTGCATTCAAACTGCAGCTTGCTGGTTATGCCATTTGTGATGTTATATTTGCTATAAAGACCTGGATCCAGCATCGTTCCCTATTTCAGACCTCTTGCCTATTGTTGTTATCATCAGGAGTTAGGATACAACTCTACTTTATTTATTTTTATTTTTATTATATTTATATGTTGACTTTCTTCCATCATGGAGCCCAAAATGGCTCCCAGGCCATTATCCCATCCAGGCACTGACCAGATCCAGACCTGCTTAGCTTCAGCAAGGTGGTGGCTTCATGTGCCTTCAGATGATACATGACATAGATCTGAATAGAAAACTGGGCTTCCTTCATGGCGATGGGCTTGCTCCTGGTGTACTGTGAATTTCTTCCCTCAGGAGGCCCATCCAAACCTGGGTTTCCCAGTTTTTTGGAAAGTGCTATAAACGGCATTTCATGAATTTATTTAATTGGAGGTCTGGTGCTAAATTTGAGATGGCTGCCTTTGTGATTTTCCTTTTTTGTCAACAAGGTGATGGTATTTTTGTATTCTGGCAATTGTGAAATGCCATGATTTTGTAGGAGAAAGAAATATCATTACAATTATTAATGCACTGCCGCCATCCATGCAGCATGAAACAATGTTTCCACTTACGCTAAGCATGTCTTCTTCACGGAGATGCATACAAAATTGTTGCTGAAAATGGAAACTCTGGGGATAAATGTAGCCTAGTATATACCATGTTGGACCTGGAAGACTGGAGGTTAAATCACCACTTGGCAACGAGCTAACTAGTTGGTTTTGGTTAGGTCAGTATCGTTCAGCCCCATGACTCTAAATGGAAAGACAGTGAAGTTATTTCACATATCTCTTTTGAAGAGGAGTGTGATGGGGATGAAAAATAAGGAAGCTATGACTGAATTCTAATTTTGATACTGGGTTATTTCTAAATGCGGTACAAAAAAATAGAACATTAGTGCTGGACATGTGGATATCAATAGCTGGAGTACCTTCTCCAACTCAGGACTGTGGAGGGCAATCTAGCGAGATGGAACATAGGGTTGTAGCAAAGGCTGGAAACCCATGTTGGGTAGAAATCTATAGGACTGGGCTGATTTTTATTTCTTTCACATCTTTCTTGATTTTGTCCCCCCCCCCCAATTCTCCCAGCCCCCTTCCAAATATTATGTGAAGTACCACTCCTCCAAACTTTTCTGCCCATCAATAAAGCGGTGCAACTCCCGTTGCAGTTTTGATTTTTGTTTTTATATCATTGCGACATTGTTGAAAGCAAGCAATGGCTATGTCCCCTACTCCTTCCAGTTCTCATAACTTGGCCCATTGCTTCCTGCCATCCACTAGACTGAATGAATGATACATCTTCATTCATTATTGACGGAGCCAAAATGGATCAGAAGATACCGTATTTTTCCGTGTATAACACGCCTCCATATATAAGATGCCCTCTATTTTGGGGGACTCAAATTTAAGAAAATGGGGGGAGATGGCCCAAAGTTGGTGAGCCTTTTTTGGGGGGGGGGGATTCAGAAAATCACTAACCCGACTAACAAACGCGGACACCACATCCAACATGCGTCTGACCGCTCACCAACAGCAGACGGCAATCACATGCCCAATTCCCGAAGCATCAGCCAATCCAAAGCAACCCTTGCTGCAGCAACCAATCACCCACACAATTACCGCAGCAGCAGCCAATCCAAAGCAGCACTTGACACAGCCACCAATCACCCACAAAATCCCCGCTGACAAGCTCCTGCTCGTGGCTGCAACCAATCACATGTCCCCACCATGCACTATCCGTGTATAGGACAACCCCCATTGTTTTACCTTATTTTAGAGTAAAAAAAGCTCTTCTTATACATGGAAAAGTACAGTAATTTTCTGGAAAATGGTTAGAGAACTGTTTTTTTGTTTGTTGTTTTTTTGCTATTCCAAAATCCAAACACTTAACAAATCCCTTATTTTATTTTTATTTGTTTGTTTTATTGGCAACTTGGTGGAGGGGAGTTTTATTTGGGAGCTTTGGGGATACCATGTTCTCATGCCCCCTAGAAGATACAGTGGTACCTCAGGTTAAGAACTTAATTCGTTCTGGAGGTCCGTTCTTAACCTGAAACTGTTCTTAACCTGAGGTACCACTTTAGCTAATAGGGCCTTCCGCTGCCGCCACGCCGCCACCACGCGATTTCTGCTCTCATCCTGAAGCAAAGTTCTTAACCCGAGGTACTATTTCTGGGTTAGCGGAGTCTGTAACCTGAAGCGTCTGTAACACGAGGTACCACTGTACTGCTTTGTTGATTAGGCAAGGACAGGGACCGCCAGCATTTATTCATGACCCAGTAAATCCAGAGAATTCATACTGCTACATTTTCACTGGAAGGGTGTGTACTGTGTCATGCCCTAGGGCTCTGAAGTTTGAACACATTGAGTCCTAGCCAGCTTACTAGGCTGGGTCTTCTGCTCAGCTGTGAGGTTTCCAGTTCAAGCTCCAGAGCCCCCAACCCCTTTGTAAAACATCTAGAGTACGTCAAGTGCTCCTAACCTTTCGCCTGTGGCGGTTAACGTCTTTCTCTTGGAGTTATTTTCTGTAACGGTTACAACAGAAGGGAGGGCCTGCCTCTTGTCACTTGTGAGTCATAGCACATATATTTAAAACTTTGCCTGGCTTGGAAACAACTTGTTAAAATTCTAGTACATCCCTGCTAACTCCAAGGACTCCTTCCTATACACGGCACGTAGCAGAGGTTCACATCAAAAGAGACAAATTTGATTTGAAGCCGGGCTCCAATTGTGTTGGCAATGCTTGGATGTATGATTATTCTAAAAGGATAATAATGTGGCTGAACTGTTGGTGGCGAAACCGAGGAAGTTGGGTCATATATTGGAAAGGTACAAAAGGAAATGGAATTCGGGTGATGAGGCTGGTTAATTACAAGGGAGATAAAAGAAAATTAATTAAAAGAAACAACCCATGAGCTGTTTGAAAACATTGCTATCTATAGGGGCAATTGGCACTAATTGGTTATTTTATTTTCAAACAACAACAACACCTAAGACTTAGTTGATTTATTCAAAGGATGCCATCCTGCAGTTCATTACAATATTTCATTGAACTTGCAGGCCTTCAATACTTGAAATATAATGGACTTTATTCTTAAGGCATTGTAGTGGAAAAGTAATCAGGGCTCCCCCTTAAATGTCTGAAGAATATCTACAACATGTGGTTTATCAGTGTGACTTTGAAATTGCAGACAAATGAACATTGTGCAATCAACTGCATTAGAGCCTCGGGGAGTAATCCACTAAATGTTGCCCCCCCTATGCAAGGACCATTAAAATGAATGGGCATGGCGTGAGGTGGTTGTTGACAGATACACTGCATGTGGTCTTATTTTTTCTCTTTGTAAAAGCAACGGAAGCTGTGAAGGAAGGGCTCTTTCAAACTACACAGAATACAATGATGGGTGCTGGGGAAAAGATTAAAAATGTTCCCCATAATTCCCTGGTTTCAATTGACTAGAATATTCCCTCAAAGATTCCAGGCTCATTAGAAGGGTTGGAATTAGGTCAGATAGTTGCTTGGGGCGATGGGCAAGATCTTGCAAGAGTGTTGCACAAGAGAGCAGCACCCACCGAGATCTTGTGTGAAAAAACAGGATGTCCTGGGGGTTTTCCAGGGCACTTGGGAGATATGGGTTTTCTACAAGCGTGTTCATTTTGTGTAGCACCAACAACAAACTTTCTGCAGTCTCTCTCTCTCTCTCTCTCTCTCTCTCTCTCTCTCTCTCTCTCTCTTTGTGTGAGACGCACCTCAAACACTCCAAGGTACCCCAGTTCATCCTGTCATATAAAACCTCTGTGCACCCCTACTTCAGACTATACTCTGTGAAGATATATACAGCACAATGAGTTCTCCTTATCTCTGGTTTTCCCCTCTCCCCAAGCTGCTGAAATTGAACACTGGGAAAGGGCTTGATCCCCTAATAGGAGTTTTGCAAGAAAAGGGACTGTGGGATGGAACCTACTGAGTCTATAATAATTAGAGTTCCTATTTACTCATTAATATACTGGAGAGAATTAGGCAGTTTGAACACAATAGGCTTCCACAAAAGATATAGACTATGTAATTGGAATTTGCTGCTTAAATGTGGGATAAGGAGCGGGGGGAATCGGCACTGCAGGAGGAGAGATAAAATGCAGCTTCTCTAGGTTTTGAAAGAGCAAAAATGAGCGCTGCCTCATATTCTCCCCAGTATCAAATGAATGCTTTTGTTTGCTCCACATATCAGCATTGGTGGGGGAATGAAATCACATGATGCACTTTCTAAACAAATAGCATTACATGTGTGCATCTTAATGCCTTTTATAAAATTATAATTGTTAGACAAATCCTTTCGTCACAGGAGAGGTCACACGAGGTGAATTCTATTATTTGAAAAAGAAAGTGACACAATATGTTGGTGTTATGCATTAAGCACAAATGCCCTGGAATCAGACCGGGTGAATACTGATG